TTTTTTTTTTCAAGCTTGCGCCGGTCGTATTCTTGGTCAGTGATTGTTCATATGTAAATCATTCAATTCAAGATGGCTGACAAAACGTTTCTTGACGAAGTTGACCAAATTGATTTGGAGCTTGACGTGCCTTTTAATGAATTTGAGGACGAATTCCAACAAAATACTACAAATAATATCGAGAACTTACCCAAGCAAAGTAATGAGACTGTAAAGGCTACAGATTCTGCAGAAAATTTAACTAAAAGTTGTGTGGTTGGTAAAGAGACTTTTGGCCTGTCAAATGACGGTCACTTAATAAAGTTAGGCAAACCTGAATCTACAGGACACACAGAATTGTCTAAAGATGTAGAGGAAGGAGAAGTATTAATCCAGGAGGAAGAAATGGAGTTGTTAAAGGACACTATAACAGACGATACAGAAGATAGTAATGTTGAAGATGGTCAAAATATTTCACGTTTCGATGAAAATAGGGAGAATTTAAAACGAAAATTGGACAATAATGACGCAGCATTGGACGAAGAAGCTGATATGGATATTGATGATAATTTGATATTAGAATCTGATGAGGAATCAATGTTACAAGAGAAGAAATGTAAAAAAGAAGATAATGTTGGTAATGAAGATGGCAAAGGTATGTAAGAAAACTCCTTTCAAAATTTTCTTGGATAAGAGGCTTGCAGAAAAACACAAAAGATATGGCACAAATAGGACGTTTGCATGATTGCATCATTGACCTCTATTGCCAGACGTCCTTGCACACTTTCTTTTGTTCAGTTAATTAGCACCAATTGTCTTACTATATTTTTATGAGGGAAAGCACATTAATTTAAATAAGAAAGAAAATTTGCCAAGCATTATGGTAGTGGGAGTCAAATGACACCATCATGCAAATGTCCTATTCCATTGAGGAAAGTGTCTTGAAAAAAAAATCATTTATTTTTACCAGTTAGCCTGGCAAATCAGTAAGAAAATTTTGAAAGGGGTAGTTGTATACATAGCTAGATTTAGATGCTGTATTACTAGCAAAAATCAAAATCTCTACCAAGAAAATGAAACCAGGAATCTTTAGAATAATGCTCTGAATCCATAATCCAGACTAAATTATTCATAAAATCTACTAAGCTGTTGGACTATTTCACCACATTCTAAGATGACTGTGAAATTACAAGGCTTCAACCAATGTTCAAGCCTCTTGTAGACCTGCTTGCTCTTCTGTATTGTAAAATATACTAGTAAGTTTTGACCATTGTCATTGAAGTGCGACCCACGAAGTTTGATGTCCCTCGTGCACTGACTAGCAATTCAACCACGGTCAGTCAAAGTCTGCAATAAGAGAAAACCAATAACTGGAGGGAGTTTTTGGACTGAATTCAAGATTTAAGAGGAATATTAGAGGATGAAAATCTTTAATTCACCTTTTCGGCGCTAACTTGGATTGTGTTACGTTCACCAAAAAGTTCGGACATTGTTCTCGGAATTCCATACAAATTCACTGACTTTAAAGAGAAAATTTAGGTAGATTTCTTTAGTTAGCTATCTTAACAGCAGTAAGAAAAGCTTCAATCAAGCTAGAAAAATGATTATTTACTTGTATTTAGAGAACTAACTAAACATTTAAAACCAAGTAAATAGTTCATTTAGAGTCAGTACATTTGTACGGAAATTCAAGAACAATGTCCGAACTTTTTGGTGACCGTAACACAACCTAAAACAATTTATACCCCGTGACGGCTAGCGCCAAAAAGGTAAATTCAGTCTAAAATCTCACTCAAGATATATATATGTATTTTTTATTTCAGTTCTTTGATTGATGGTCGTTGAAATGCTAGTCGGCAAACAAGACATCAAACTTTGTTGGTCACGCTCAACAATAATGGTATTAATTAATTACAACATTTATTTTTCCCAACATGTTATGTGGTTTAAGATCAACCAATGAAAAACCCTAGAGGTGGTAAGAAGAAAAAGAAAAAGAAAAAGAAAGTAGTGCCAGTGCATTATGGGAGAATCCCTCGACCAATTATTGGAAGACTGTTTAGTCCTCTGATGGCAACAGAACATGATGAACCTGAGGTACTTGCTGGTCAGATGGCAGACAGATTAGAAGAGGTACAAGGCAATTAATGATAATAATAACATATATTATTATACATTTTACTAAGTATCTCAATTCTGATTGGTTGAGAGCCCTCAGCCAACCCCTGATATCATGTGAACTCGACATGATAAATGTATTATCTGTAGGTTTTCCTACAGATAATACATTTATCATGTCAAGTTCATTCAAGGTCATGCTGTGGTAGCTTTGTTTTTATTCATTATGTGTATTTATTTCCAGAATCATGTACAAAAACAATTATTTAAGGAATCCTTAACTTATTTTCATATATTTTATGAAGAATTCTCAAAATATTTCTGAATTAAGAATTTTGCATTTTTCACGCTACATCATGGCATTCATAATTCTTGTCTCTATAATTTAAAGTTCATGTTAGGAATTTTTTTCCAGTATACAAAATGTATAATAAAGCAATTATTGAATTCGGTTATCCCATAATATCGTAAATTATCAAGACCTCGGCTCTGTTATCTGCTGCAGCCTTTGGCTTCGGCAGATAACACATCATCGGCCTTGATAATTTACGATATCATGCTCAACCTCATCCAATAATTGCTTAATATTTTAGCCGGGAGCCTTGCATACATGTATCTGCCAGGAATTTTTCAATGGGGCACTGAGAAAACATAACTTTGAAAAGAGACTACTAATAAAAAATTTGTATAATAAAAAATTTATAAAGACAGTATTAACATGTTAAAATGTAAAAAGATAAAAGAGTAGCATTATGCCTTAATGTAAATAAAACAAGTTAAGAAATGTATTCATTACTTTAAAAAAAGAGTGCATGGTCTAACATATTTTATTACATTTAAAGGTGTTAAATAGAAAGATATCTGCAGAAAAATGAGAAGTCAATACATCTATCATAAAAAGTCACATGAAATTACATGGAGACTGACTGTTTTGCTTTCGTTTCAGGAAAAAGAGGATCTCATCTTAAGGGTATTACAAACCATAGGTAACAAAAAGGCAATCGAAATATTTCAAGAAACAAAGAAAATACAAGTAGAAGGAGGGATGAGTACAGTTTATGGAAACAGAAGGTGAGATTATTTGGATATGCTCATTTGATTTTTCTCCGGGGGGGGGTACTCCCATATATGGACTATACAGGGATGATCCGCTGAACAAGGTATGGTTTTTCGAGCTTCTTGTCATAAACAGGGTATGCAATTTCACTCAAATTCCAAGTTCTTCCTGAGTTTCCTGTCATATTCAGGGTTTTTACTTTTGTATTGACCGAAACTGGTTATTATGGTCGTCAAAAAAAAACAATACACAAGCTGACATGTAATTGAAACAGGAACTCAGTGCAATTAATTATATCTTTTGCCATACACAGGGTCTACAATTTTGAGGTTTTTTTGTCATAAACAGGGTACCCCTTTCAGAATCACAGCGGAACACCCCTATCCAAACCCTGGCAGAGTACCCCCCGTGGGATTTTTCTGTCTTTCTGTCCTTCTGAAATTTCACCATGCAGGTACTTCATCAGGTATTTGAAAAGTTTTCTCCAATCACTTGACTCTCCAAAGCGAGCAGGAGGTGCGTCCCACTGGGCTCAGTGTCATACACGAGTAGAGTAGCTTGTTGGTAATTTCCTGTTCTTCAAGGGTTTTTTCTCTGGGCTCTCTGGTTTTCCTCCCTCCACAAAAAAAAATCAACTCTTAAACTCCAATGGCAATTGCAGTGGATGAAGAGCCACTCTGTGGAAATGCCACTGCTAAATCTTATCCCATTTTTTTTCAATCATTCATTCATTATTTTCTTTGTTTCATTATGTATTTCTTTTCCAGACGAACTAGTGGAGGTATCTTCATTTACCTGTTAAAGAGCAAAGGTTATGCAACTAAGGAGCAACTGAAAGAAATATTTGCTGTTGAAAGAGAAAAAGCCAAGCAATTAATCAAAGAACAGAAGAAAAGAGATAAAGAGCTGAGGGAACAAGGAATCAACGATTTAAGACAAAAGCTGGCAGAGAAAAAAGAAATGCTTTTGAAAGCTGAAGACAATAAATCAGAAAATAAAAGTGTGTTGGAAGCGAGCAAAAGCGAAGACTTATAGTCCTAGAACGATTAAAGAGAGAGGACTCAATCACTATCACTTTTTTTTTTCTGCTACGAAAAACGAAAACCAAAGACTCGTTAAAAACATCAAAGATCAGAGACAGCGATGCGAGGCTGATGCTTCTCTAATTGCATTACCATAGCAACAAAATCAATAAATCTGGGCGGCTTCTAATCTCTCAATTTATTTCTGCCCCCGTTGTTACAGCAGCTCGGCTACTAAAGCTGAAATAATTGAAGCAGTTCCGGTTGACGTTGCCGTCACAGATTTTACGAGACCCTTCGTTTTTAACTAATGAGGAGGAGAGGGCGGGGAAGCGCGCATGGCAGCTTTATTTTCGCTCCAAAAGGTCTCTTCAATGGAATGTTTAAATATTTAGTTTTTAAGAGCCATATTTTTCCACCGTCGATCAAGCACAATGCCCTAACCTGGGAAATGTGTTTTTGTCTTCTTTCTTCCTCGTAGATTAATTAGGCGTTTTTTCCTCTTGACAACATAAGCAAGCCTCATTTATAGAAAGCCGTTTCTTTTGGACACTTTCCCAGAATTAATAAGCTCCAAAACAGTTAATCTCTTTGGATTGGTTCCCAGTTGTACTGACTTGTAAGCTTAAGCTTGACACTGTTAATATCGTAGCAATGACTTATTAGTCTCGTGTTACTGTACAAACCGAACCTTTGCAGAACCAAACCACGTCAATCCCAAATTTGTGAGAACTTCGTCCAAAAAATGACAGAAAAGAAAGGAATTCTTATATTACTTTCTTTGTGGACGCTCTTAGTTTTTAAAGGTATGATATTTGGTTTGGAAAACTTCTTGAAACTTGTGTTCACTTATTTAGTAGATTGCTATCTTTGTTTATACTGACCTATACGACATCACTATTTGGTAAATGAATGAGGAACTTGATGACATACTCGAGTTAAAACAGTAATGTCTTGTCCTTAGTTGACGAACGAGTTAGTTTTTTTTTACATTACTACATCGATTTTTGATAACTTTTCCTTGTGTGGAATTAGATCTATAACATGTAAAGTGTTTTATTTCATTTTGGACACTCGGTAACGCGTAAGATTGTGTTCAGCAAACTCTCTAAAAATTTCATCTATCATAACTTAATCTTTACTTCATAACAAAGCGATACTCTATACAAAACATGTAAATATTCGTTCCCCAGCCTTTTCCCCTAAAAAGATAAAACGAATCGAGGAAGACAATTGAAGATGAAACGTCAATGGCGCTTAATTCCGACTCTAGTAAAAAAAGTAGCTAGTAATGACATGACCCCACGATGAGGTGCACACTGGAAAAAAGTCAAGTCCCAACGTTTTTAATATCGGGGATTAACTTTTAAAAAGTCTCCCAGGGATTCTTAATTACGTAGGCGACTAAGATTTAACTTTTTAAAAGGCTCAGTTTTGATCCATGAGAGCGAAATTCACAGAAAGAGAGACGCCAGCTGTGTATATTGACAAGCAGGACAAAACTAGTAACAGGTTTTTGCTGATTAGCGCGCAAACCGGTTTAAAGCACATTCCTTGTTGTTGCCATTAGAAACGAAAGACCATTCGCGTTGTAGCATGAGTAATCCAGTACCGCTCGAAAGCTGGATTTTCATTGCTCCCTAAGTATAGTTACTCTTTTGTAAGGTTAGGTTTAGTGCTATTGTTTGGATTGATCAAACTATTGTTTTTTAATCCAATCATGTAACTCGTTCCTAACGGTACGGGCTGCCTCTGTAGCATCACCAACTAACATCCCTTGCAAACATTTCATTTGTTCAATGCATTGCCAATCACTAACGCTCCACCTCTCGAAGATTGATTGTGAAAGAAAATTCGCGGTGCATTCTCGTAGCAAGAAGGCATGTTTATGTAGTGCAACGAGAAAAGATGAAAGAGAAAGTGGAAAGCCTTATTTCTCAACGTGTTACTTCGTAGGAACTTTAATAGACCTCCTCGGCTCGGCGTAATGTTGTCCCATTTCAGACCACGTGTCATTCCCTTGAGAATGATATTCTTTGTTTGAGTTGTATCCATATTAATGTGTCTTCTCATGTGCAACTGAGCGCAAACCTTAAACAAAGAAATGCTCTAGGAAATGACATATGGTCTGAAATGGGAAAACATTACGTTAGAGCCGAGGAGGACCATTGTTCAAGTGCAGCCGATAGCATCATAATCTCGTTTGCACTTCCTTCCCTCCCCCTCTCTCATTTTGATTTGTTATTACACCCACCTGACAAAAGGTTTTCGGCGCCAAAGGCGATGAGTTCCTTGTGACTTGTTTAACGTGTTATAGATTAGCACGGCTTATTGATGATGTTTTCAATAGGCTCGATGATAAGCCATTCGTATTGTGGAGCAATAACCTCACGATCAAGTACCGGAAACAACAGACAGTATTGTCAATGACTTTGACTAATTAGATATTGAAAGCCATCCTGATAGTAGATAGGGTCGGATTCAGGGGGTGTCCTGCGGCACACCGGACACACCCCTAACACCGGTCGTAATTACGCTTTTTTGAAGCGATGTATAATATCTACATATACATTTCTTCATTTGGGATACCCCCTAACAAATTCCCGGATCCACCCTTGATAGCATGTCTCATACAGGAATATTGAAAGCCATGCCAAGTAATAGTATAATCGAAACTCTTCAGTGGAATCAACTTATAGACCCCTTGCATGTGACGTCAAAGCAGCTCGATCTGGGGAACAAAACAAAAGAATTCCAATCTCCTGAGAATTGAAACCTATTGTTTTGTGCCCCAGATTGAGCTGCATTACAAAATGCTTCCAAGGGGACATGAAACAACAATTACATTTAGTCAGTATTTTACATACGAAAAGTATTGTTTCATGGGCTTCAATAGACACAAAAGCAAACAATTATGGGGGGAAATATATCCAAGGTATTTTACTTGGCCCGTGAAACAAAATCGTAAAATGAGTGAGTAAAGGTCAAATAAAAACAAAAGAAAACAATGGAATGAGTGCCTATTACTTACTAAGTGTTAATACACTTACTATTGTTTCACGGGTCAAGCAAAATTCCTATAACCTCTATAGACCCTTGCAGCACGTCGGAATGCAGCTCAATTTGGAGGACATGACAATAGGGCTCCAATTCTCAGGAGATTGAAATTCAGCTTTTGTTTTATCTTCCAAATTGAGCTGCTTTGACGTCACATGCAAGGGGTCTATTCGTTTCATGTCTAAGAACCGCTACCAGCTGTGTAGGAAGCTAGTAAAACAGCTGGCTGTACAAAGGAGAGCACTGAGAGGAAGAAAAGACAACAACTACTATCACTATTATCCATATTGATGCAATGTGTCTGCTTCTGTAGACCACAATGAAAGTTGTTTTTCTTTATTGTGCTGTGCATTATCAAAATACACGATACTGCTCAGGATAGAGTGCATTCATGATATCCGTGAAAAAGTCGCTAATTAACAAAATTATACAAATGAGTGCAAGAGTTTTGTAGGTCTACGATGTACTGAGATCTACTGAGCTTACTAATTTGTGCAAATTCGTGCAATTTCTCACAATGTTTTCCACGACTATATGGTTTGCACTCTACTGCCATAGCTTACATTAAGTTCACGGCTTGTTTATAGTGAGGTATGACAGACAGTACTATAGCCTATTGGCCTTGTCAGTTTGTACGTGAAGACGTACAAGATAGTATCATTTCAGTAAAGTGTATTTTTAGATGTAGTCACCAATAAGGTCGATACGTGACGGACAACTGGGAATACAATGTTGGCACTTATACAATGGGTTCAACAATAACTAAAATACCATATAATTGTCGTTACTTACCCTATGGCTACAATGAGTTCAATGGGGCATATACTGACGGTGATGGCACCATTTTGTCCCGGACGAATTCTGATTGGATATACGGTAACCTTACCAGCTGTACGTGATTGGTTGTCAGTTTTTGACCTATTCAATCCTTAACGACTTCCTCTGACCACTTTACTATGTCTTTTTGTCTTGCATGTCAAGGGCTTCAGTCTCACATGACAGCACTTCTTTTTCCAACTTTACCCAGAATGTTTTCATTCCACAGACTTGTTTGTACCCTGGGCACCAGAGGCCCGGATAGGTGAATGGTAATTAAGAGACTGATCATTTTCAGCGACAGGGGGAGAGGGGGGATGTTGCATAGGATTACTTCTTTTTACTGATACGGCGGCCATCTTAAATTCTATTGTTTCAATAATGCCAGGGGCATTTAATTGCTTACTATCAATCACGTGACTTTTTGGAGTTGACTGGGGGTCAAACAAGCGGTTGACTGGGGGGCAACTAGCGGATGCTAAGTCAAAACATATCAAAATAAGTCCTCAAACTATTGTATTTGACTATTTTCACGACATCAAACCAGAAAACAAGAGATCAAAACAACCTCCAGGATTCTACAAGCCATCAAAAAAGAGCTATTACCGGAAGTGACGTCTATTGATAACAACCTAAAGAAAGTTTATAGACTGCGCAGCTGTCAGGGTGTCTTTTTATATAACTTGACACTTTTCGATAATAAGCACATCGAAAAGGCAATTTAATTGCTGGTAGTTGCAACAATGTATCAATCACTGAGACACTAATTATTCGACAACGTAAACCCGCCCGCACTCTATGCTTCATAAGTTTTTTATATGTGTTTGCCCCCTAGACATCCCATAATTCAAGATGGCCGCTATATCAGAAAAAAAGTCTATTGCACTAGCTCTCGAGCACCGCGCTCAGAAATTAGTCAAGTGTAGAACGTTGTGCACTTGATATCATAAACTAAATTATAATTTAATATCGCTATTCTTCTGATTTGATATCGTAAATATCTATCTTCTTACTATTATCTTACTTTTTGTTTTCTTTCTATTTTGTGCTCCGTAAATTTCATTGTAAAATATAATTATCATTGTGATCTCCGTAGATGAGCCATTATGGTTCTTCGAGTAAACGATTAGAAAAGTTATGGTTAAATATGAAAAAATAAAAAATAAAAATAAAAAGATTAAAAAATAAAAATAAAAAGATTTTTAAAAAAATGTAGAACGTTAAAGTAGGAGGATTAACATTTATGTTCGCGTTTGCATTCTAGGTTCCAAAGGATTCAGTTTCGATACCAAAGTACATTGCAATCCGAGAAGCATGGTTCTGATAGTCAAATCATCTTCCAACCAGAGCCTTCAACTTAGTCTCATGAACAGTAGTTGTAAGGCAGTGAAGATCAACAACACGCATGTCCTCTTTCAAACACCGCTGACTGCATGCGGCACACAGTACAAGTTATCTGACGAACGAGTAGTATTTTTCAATTGGCTGATAATTAAGAAGTCTGACCAATCACAAAGGATCCAAACATCACGTGTTATAGAGCGTTCTGTGCCATTTCATTGTGTGTATAAAAAGAAAGACGTTGCAGAGATTATGAAAGGTAAGGCTTACCATCCGAAATGTTCCAAGCAACACCTAAAAACAAAAAACGCTTGGATTAAGGATCATTCAAGACTCAAAACATTCTCTTTGCAATATCAACCAATAAATATTTTTCTGTATTTGCAGTTTTTGAGCCTCTAAATTTCGATCCAAGTAGATCAAGCCCCCAAGAGCTGTTCAGTTTACTCGGGCTCCCTGTTAAGATCCAATGTACATTCAGAAGCGGCGCTACTCCTGTCACAGTCAAATTCTTCAAAAATCAAACCATGGTTGCCATGGCAACCAATCAGTCAATACTGACAGAGATCGTGATGGCAAGAAAAAGGGATTTTGGTGAATATACTTGTATTGCAATAGATAGAAACGGAAAGACAGCAATGCATAATATTACCATCAAACACCTCGGTAAGTGTGTCTGTACAACTGTCTTTGTATCGTTTCCTCACCGTTGAAATAAGCCATTTCACGGATCCCGTTACTCAACCTCAGCCTCGTCAGCGTGTAATTATTCTTTAGAATTTGACTACAGTCCGCAGTAATCAACGAACAATTGAAACACTTAAAAATTTCACAGGTTGTAGGCAATTTCTAAAGAATATATTACACGCTGACGAGGCTGAGATTGAGTAACGGGATCCGTGAAATGGTCCATTGCACCCAATCAGAATGCAGTGGTATCCCACTGTTTCTTCACATCAGGCTTGGTGTATATATTTTAATTGCATGGAATAAAATAGTTATCAATGCTTTCTCATGGCACACTTCACGATTTCATATTTAGAATATTACGAAAGCATGGAAGTAATGTTGACATTTGTAATTTCACAGTATATGGAAGTGCTATGCTATGCGAGTGAGCGCCTTTCATTTTTATAGATGTAAATGAAAATGGGAAAGGTTAAAAGAAAGTTAATAACTAACTGGGTTTTTTCCCTTAGATCACGCCGCTGTACCCCGTGATGGAGTCTACACCACGTGCTCGGAGTCCTCCTTCCACGTGATCATGAATCGGACTTTGTACCCCTGGTTACAGCCTGCATTGAAACACTTACATTTGCGTGACCATTCCTGTGAGCCGTGGCACATCAACAATACTCATATCATACTAAACTCCTCTTATGATCAATGCAAAACCTTCAGAAAAGAAAGCTATAGGGAAGTAATTTATGATAATGTATTCATTGTCCATGTCAAGCCTCGTGATGATGTCCCTGTGTTGGATGTCCCGGATATTGAGTTTGCTATCGAATGCCGACTGAGAAGAAAACCTCTATCAAGAATAACCGTCATGCCGTCCGTTCAGGGCAAAGTTTATTATCTTAACGGTAATTATGCATGTCGTATGATAATCAAAAGGATATGTTAAAATATTGATGAAGTCCAAATGTTCCCAAGAGAGTCAAACAGCATGGTGGCCATGTTCGTGGTGCTATAAACGAACGAATCTAATAAGTCTCTTGTTAAAAATACCACCAACATGGCTGCGATGACATAACGTGGAAACACTTTTTCTCGGTGCAATTTGTACCATTTTCGTATTTGTGTGACCTCGTGTGGCAGCCATTATGGATGTCAGGAACAATCCAATCACACCAACTAAAGTACTTGCCACACTGTATCAGGATTTCTAATTATATATACTTAGGCCTAGGACAAACGTCGAACTTTCCATGCACCGAACTCATTAAAAACAATGGATATCAGGTGATAATGAGGCGGCATTCTTTGATGTAATTAAGTTCGGTGCATGGAAAGTTCGACGTTTGCCCTAGGCCTTAGAATACGTTGCTTAAGCATCTTTTACCTCCTTATTCTTCAGGGCAGTTATTCGGTATATTCCATCATGGGAGTACAGTTAGAGCTGTGTGTCAAACAGATCCCCACGAGAAATTCGTTGCATGGAAGGTCAAGAATGGGAGGCAACCATTGACAAGGAGCAAGGAAAAAGCCTTGAACAAAATGTTGTTGGTGGAGAATGTTACAGATAGTAATGGAGGGGTTTACGTCTGTGTTACTACCAGAAGACACTTAACATTACACTTTTTCGTAAAAGGTAATTGTACAAGATGCAATTGTTTTGATTATTTTTAATAAATTGTCTGTATTTGTTTATTAAAATTAAAAATACCCAATAACTTTACCACCATCAATAAAAACTTTGCCACTGACTGCTCTAGGCTGAATTGAACAAGTTGTTGTCTTTCTTGGCACGTTTGCTGTCAAGGAACATCCCATACAGTCTTTTCCTAAATTAAAAAATGATACGTGAGTCGAGTGCAGGTGAATAAAGAGTACGTAAGACTATGGAGGGGATTTGAATGGGGACCCTCAAGTTTGTTTCTTATTTTGAGCTCTATTTTCAAAACGAACTTTCTTACCTTAATTGTACATGTATTTTGTATATATCCAAAGCTCATTTTTACGCCAAGAGCAAGCAGTACATCAGGAAGGGAAGGGATGGTGCCGTCGTTTGTTCTGCCGGTGGGTTTCCCGAAGTAACGAAATCGTGGACCAAAAATGGCATTAAGATAGACATGAAAGGACGCTTTTCCATTGACAAGAAGGGAAATTTGATGATTGCTGAAGCACGGAAAGAAGATAGTGGGCTCTACGCGTGTGAAGTAGAACAAGTGTTTGAAGTACCGTTAAGAATGAGAGCATTTCAGGAGATAAACATTATGGTTGAAATATATGGTGAGCTAGCTTTATCCGTTTATATGTCCATCCATTCATCATGCATTAATCTTTTTATCAATCCATCTATACATCCGACCATCCATCCATCCATCCATCCATCCATCCATCCATCCATCCATCCATCCATCCATCCATCCATCCATCCATCCATCCATCCA